TTTATAAAGGAATTAAAGCTGAATCATGCCTGCCCCAGGTCAGAGATCAGACCCTCTCCAGCATTTTAAGATTTCATGTTTTGTGATCTCTCTACCCTTCGTCTTGCTTTGTTTCCCAGGAAGACGGTAAAGATTCCATTTTTTCTTTTTTTTTTTTTTTTTAAAGATTTCTTATTTATTTAACAGAGAGAGATCACAAGTAGGCAGAGAGGCAGCAGAGTGAGAGGGGGAAGCAGGCTCCCCGCTGAGCGGAGAGCCTGATGCAGGGCTTGATCCCAGGACCCTGAGATCATGACCTGAGCCGAAGACTGAGGCTTAACCCACTGAGCCACCCAGGCGCCCTGATTCCATTCTTTCTTTTTTTAAATCTTTTTTTTTTAAGATTTTTATGATTTTTTTACTTATTTATTTGACAGAGATCAGTAGGCAGAGAGACAGGCAGAGAGAGAGGGGAAGCAGTCTCCCCGCTGAGCAGAGAGCCATATGCGGGGCTCTATCCCAGGACCCTGAGATCATGACCTGAGCTGAAGGCAGAGGCTTTAACCCACTGAGCCACCCAGGCGCCCCTCCATTCTTTCTTATCTTCCACTGCCTTCCTAACCTGAGCCATCTGTCAGATGGGTACTCTTGCCTTAATCAGACCTTTATAATTTCCACATCAGAGTCTAGGGACCAGCACTTTTTGAATTTCAGTCTGGTCCAGTAGTTCAATGCAATCGGAAAAGTGAGAGACTAAATGACCTATTTAATTAAGTGTATCTATCACCTGTGCCCTGGGGCAGTGTTTAGTTTGATTCACAGTGACTTCACTTCCCTCCGGAGGGGATAGAGAAGGAGAGCATTTCCATTAATGACTTCTTATTCTACAGAACAAATGTCCCTAATGAAAAGCAGCTGATCAGCTTCCTCTGGTCACATCCGGCTCTAGCGGGCTTGCCTGGCCGCATATTTGCTTTTGTCTCAGTATGTGGGGAGGGAAAGGGAAGAGGTTTTGCAAAATCTCAGGGCTCAGTCAAGGTTTTTCTGCCCCAGTTCCTCCCCTAATGGTAATCTCTTCGAGAGAAGTGAGGAGCCTAAAGGCTTTTCTTAAGCCCTTAAATCTGCTTTTGTTTTTTCAAGTGCTGGCTCTGGGTGTGGGACAGGACTTGATCTGCGCTCCCTGACGGACAGCCCTACTTGCTCTCGGAGCTTCTTGGTTGCCTTCCCAGAAGATCTCGTGGGGAGAGGGGAGTGGAACTGATAGGAGTGGGAAGGGACAGGGCCTCTGACATTCTAGAGAGTATATCCCCCCCTCCCCGGCACCGCCAGCCAGTAGGACTCGGGGTTTTTTTTGGTAAAACACCACGCCTGTATAAGCAAGACAGCTCTGTGTGGCGTCTGCTTGACTCCTAATCTGATCTAGGTGGAGGCTTGATTCTCCACCTGCGCCCCCTCCCCGCCCCCACCCCGGGCTCTCTCTGACTTTCCTCTTAAGTACTCCTCATTCGGTTGCCCATTCACAGTGTGGGCGTTTGCGCTGCCCTGGGGAAAGTGTAGCCCCTAAAAATTCTACCTTTGCCCTAGGGGAGCTGTTAGGGGCGTGGAGTATAATCGGAGTATAATACATTAGTATCCCTGCGTGAAGGAGATGCTCGATCAGTGTTTTTAAAACCCTGGTTTTTGATGGAGTGGGTAGAAAATTTTAGTGGGTTGTTGCCAACAAAACCAGAAATTTAGGGGCTCCTGGCTGACTCAGTCGGTGGAGAGCGCAACTTGATCTTGAGGTCAAGGGTTGAAGCCCCACACGGGGCATAGAGCTTACTTTAAAAAAACAAACAAACAAACCACCAGGAACGTAATCGCAGACAGTATATGGAACGCAGCACATGTAGTAATGGTAAATATTGCTTATTCTTCATGAACTTGTGCTGTGAATACACTGGCAAACAAAATTAAGAAATAGTGTTCTTGATCCTGGTGGTTTTTTTAGGAATTCTAGGTCTGTGACTGGACGTTACTTCTCAAAGGCCGGGGCGGGGTGGGGGGTGTGGTGGTGGTTCTCTGATAGTCTGCATCTAAGGAACCGTGACTCTTCTACGTTCCTGTTCTGGAGCTTCGCGATGTGTGTTAATCAGTTGTTTCAAAAGCCTCGCCGTAAAATGTCTACTAGATTTATTCAGCATGGAACTTTTCTCCCCCATGCAACACCTTTTAGCATTCTGAGGAAGTAGTTTGTAGAGAAACAATTTGGGAAACACTGATTTGGTTTTGTTGTCATGAGGGAACGTTTTACCTCTTTAGTCTGGAAGCTTTTGTATATACGGGCTGTATTTTGTACCTAGGCCTTTTCTATTGCTGGGACAACTGGGTGGTAGGTTCCAGACGTAGGGTTTTAAGAAACATGGGGCCCAGGAGAAGTGCTTTTGCCTAGAACCGTGCCGGGGGAGTTGCCTGTTCTTGAGATGGAACCACTTTCTCGGAAAGGAGAATACCCAGGGCCCTGATTGCTGAAATTCTTTCTCCTTTTTTTTTCCCCCCTCTTCTTTTTTGTGCAGGTATGGGACCTAGGGAAAGGCCTGAAGATTCCCCAGCTGTACCAGTCCGGAGTGGCTGTCTTGGTTCTTACTGTGTTGACCTCTGCAGGGCTGGCCGCCATGTGAAGAGCCAAAGTTCCAGCATTGTCTCCCCTAAATGATTCACTGACCTGCCTTCCTGCTTGTCACTCTCGTCTCCGGCCAAGACAAAGTCCTCCTGTTTTATTTAGACCCTCTGTGCTTGCACATCCCCTTGGGGCTCCATGGCAGTAGAGTTCCTCCTAGAAGCAGAGCAGTGGGAGAGGGTCCAGTTTCCTCCCTTGTTGCTAAAGAAGGAATGACTCAAAACTTCCCTTTTCCTGCCCCCAGCGTGCAGCCTACTCTGGGCCTGGAAGCCGTCATTCTCCCTCCGTATTGGGCTCTGATTTGTGCTGACAGAGTCAGCTCCTTCTTCCCAGGACAGTGGAAACAATGCCAGCTCTGTGGCCTCTGCCATGGGGACTGGGAGTGGGGCTTCGGGTGCCACTGCCTGTGGGTTGTTGGCTTAAAGGACAGTTCTGTTCATTGGTCAGAGCCCGGGGTCTTCAGCACCCACACGGTGTGACTGAAAGAAGAGGAGTGGGGGTGGGGAGGAGTCAGCCTGTCCCAGCTCATGGGAGGTGAAGAGGGTCGGTTGACTCTTAAGGCAGGTGCTTTGGAGAGAAGATATATAGCTTTTAATGCAAAAGGAAGGTCCGGAAAACGACAATGAACATATTAAGGGTTATTTTTGCCCCCTACATTTCTGGAAAAACAAGCCTCTTTTCTAATCCAAATTCATGTGACATCTGTTTCCGAAACTGAATTAAAATACTCATTTTGTCTTTGACTCTCCTTGAAATCTAGAAAACCAAGAGAATGGCGTTTGGGGGGGAGCCAATTTCCTCCCTCTCCCTCTGGTCTCAGGCATTTGCATCCCCCAATCTGACCTTTCTGAGGAGGGAAACAGCTTGTCCTGAGGCTGACCACTGGAACTGTGTTTAGGGAATCGAATACAAGTAGCCAGAGACGGAAGAGCATGAGAAGCCGCAGAGAAGGAAGGAGCGAGAGAGAGGAGGTTAAGCCTGTGGAAGCTTTGCATTATCGCAGCCTCCAGAGTCCCACTGAGAACTGTTCATAAACCTCAGGGGCCAGTTCAGCAAATGGCCCAGTAAGGGAGCCAGAGGACCAATGGAGGTGGCAGCAAAGGGATGATGAGCGAAGTATGTAGAGTGGGAGAGAACAGAGAGCGGAGATAAGAGAGGAGGGGTCACTGAAGACCTGCCCAAATTCATAATTTCACGGGAAAACTCACTGCCTTTAAAATCTATGTGGGCCGGCCGTCTGGATCTCTGACTCCTTCGGCAGGAGTGTGGTTTGATAGTCTTTGGAAACTCAGGGGTAGCAGACCTATCTTTCTGAGTTGTTGGCCAACTGGTTAGAGCTGCGAGTTGGAGAGGAGGAACGGTGACTAATTGGGGGCAGTTGGACTGGAAGATGTCGCTGAAGCAAAGACAGCGGGGACCTCCGGCCCCAGCAGTCTTCCTCCCGGCTCCCAAGTAGTCTTCTGCTTCACGTGATGATCACTTCCCCCTTCTTGCTGGAGGAACCCTGGGAAGCCTTTGTAGCCTTCCTCCAGCGTAAACCCTACGTCTTCTGTAGTTGACCTTGGAGTGGGAGACAAGCGTTCCTAAGGGAACACTCTGGCCTTTGAGCTGGGGAGGGTTTGGCACGGGCATAACACTGAGCAGCCAGCCCCAGGAAGACCGCAGAATAGGAGAATGTGAGCAGGTGTTGGAAGCTGGGAAGTGCATAGGGAACATCGTACCTTTTTTGGGTGGCTCCTTACCATGTGTTGGGGTGCTTGGGACTGGGGTACAATGGTCCTCATGTTTGTTATTCTGCCCTAAATTTCTACTTACCATCTCTCTGTTTTTTCTTCTCTGACTTCCAGTCACTTCTGTAGATCTTTTATCAAACTATGTATATCCTTTTGCTTGAGTTTTACTTCTATAACTCTGTCTAGTTTGTCTTCCCCATGTGTTCTGTCATCAGATGTGAAGTTGTAGACAAGGAGAGTGTCTTCTACTCTGGCTTCCCTTCCCTTTTCTTCCCCTGTCTTCTCCAGACATGCATGTGTGTGCTCTACTAAACAATCATATTTCGGACTTAGAAGTTTTATTTGTGCGTGCTTAGGATGAAAAATGAGGGCCTGGGGGTAAGAGGCTGGTTCTTTGAGGTTTCTTCTGCTACAGTTCGGACCAACTTCCTCTTGGTCACTTCTGGAGGAGAGCTGACTTAGTGTTCTACCTCAAGCCACTGCCATGTTCTTTGCCCTGCTCTATTTTCCCCAACCTGCCTTCTAGTCGTGGGGTACAAGCAGCAGCCATAACAGAAGGAAGAAACATCCAAGTCAGTAATAGATTCAACAGATGATGTTTATTTTCTAACTTTGCCTTTATTCCCACCCTATAATTTCCCTGTTCTGCGTCCCTCCCTGGGGGTCTCACTTATGTCACTCAGACAGGTTTTCTCAGTGTGGTCCCTGGGTGCCTCTGGAATTCCAGGCTTGCATTTCTGGACTGCAGCTGGATTAGGACCTGCCGGGTGTTCTAGCACACATGGACATCCTGGTGGGCTCTTGAGAGAGTTGGCTGGGCTTTGGGGACGTGGAGTGTGACCTGCAGAGGGGTGTGAGCTTTGGGGTCGGTCTGGGGAATTGAGATTTACATCTGGGGAGCCAGGAATTATGGTCGGACTTGGGGCTTGTTGTACAGTCTTCGTGAGTTTCCCGAGTTTCCTCTGATTGTCTGGATCATGAGGCTGCCGGGCAGAATGGAACAGAGTCATGTTTCTGGTCAGGCCTAGGTCATTCCCAGTCCATCTTAGAATTCTCACCGTCCTCCTCCCCATAGGATAGACAAAAGGTCAGATCAGATCATTTTGCACTGTGGGGGAAAATGTCCTTAGCGCCTCTTGTTAAGAATCAGAAGAGTTAGGGACCAGGTAGAAGACCGAGTTGGTTAGAGGTTCCCCCTGCTGGGTGGTGGTGGTATAACAAGAGGGATTTTTGAGATTGAAAAGAAATGCAGATCATAGGATTTGAGCTTAGGTGGGAGGAAGAGCTACCTTGCCCAAGATTTCAGGACGCAGCCCGTTGGAGGCCTTGAGCAAATCTGGATTTTTCTGTATCCATCTGGTGAGGGAGGCAGCACCAGCAACCGTCCGGGAGGTCAGGGTCACCCGAGCAGGGGGTATCTTCAGAGGCATTTGCCAGGTTCCCATAAAAGATCCCCAAGGGCTTGCCTGAAAGGAAGAAGACGAGGTTCTTCAACAGGCTTTTCCCAGGACTGCTGACCTGTTGGCAGGTCTGTTGTCTTCCTTCCCCCCTTCCCCCCTGGGATGCGTGGTAGTGAAATCAGACTGAAAGCACAGTCTCCCAGTCTCCCCACTCGTCCTTTACCCCGTTTCTCACTTAGGTTACCCAGATTTTTTCACCATATTAACTCTGTTGGCTTAACTTAAGTCTAGCAGAGTACTCACTGCGTTAAGTATCACATGAAGGTGTTCGTTCATCAGTTTAAGGCATTCTCTTGTGCTCGATAAACTGGCTGCAAGTTTGGGGACAGTCATGTTGCAATGGGAATTAGATTGAACTTTAATTTCCAGATAGCAGCCATGATAGACTGTAAACCTCCCATGTTGGCTACTCTGGTTCTGTGCCCCAGTTCTTTACCTTCTTCAGGAGGAACAGGGATCAGTATCTCACCTTGGAACGGGGCACTGAAGGCAACAGATGACCACGATCATTGGCGATAATCTGAGTGTAGCCTTCATGGGAGGAAATTCTCTGGGGTAGAAGCGAGGAGAGAAGTGCTTGTGAAAATGGAATGGAAAAGAGAGAGAAGGTATCCGAGGGGCTCGAGTTAAGGGCTGGGGGAGGGGAGAGGCTATGGGAATTTAGAGATGGCTAAAGGAATTAGGTGCCAGTGAATTCCAGATGACCTGGTGGAAAGAATCAGCAACTGGCCCTGTGGGAGCTCTACACACGCAATACCTCCTTCGTTGGCTTGGCGGGAGACCAGTTCCGCAGATACTTGGGTGAGAAAGCTTTTTCATACTGTGGAGAGAAAGATGAGAATCTCCGTGAAGCTCAAAGGCCCTGTCCCTGGGAAATGATGACGAGGCCCAGTTCTTTAGAGTTGATGACCAGAGACCTAAACAGCCAAGCTAGGCTTAACTCCTACAGAAGGTGTAAATTTTTGGTCTAAGTGTGTGTTTTTCAACATGGCACCGCTAGCCACATGGGGCTATTGGACACTTGAAATGTGACTAGTCCCATTAGACCAGGGAGTGCTTTTTAATTTCAGAGAGTTAGTACAAAAAAGAAGAGAATGTAAGCATTGTATTATAACTTTTTAAATATTGACTAAACATTGAAATAATATTTTAGACTTACCGGGTTAAATATATTATTAAAGTTAATTTTATTTCTTTTTAGTTTTTTTCATATAGCTACTAGAAAATTTTAAATTACATTGGTGACTCGCATTAGCTTTTTATTGGGCAGCCCTGATCTAGACCAAGGATGGGCAAATGTGGTCCATGAGCCCAGTCCATCCTCCTATCTGTCTTGGGTTGACCTGAGAAAGCAAAGAATTGTTTTTATAGATGGATATTTGCAATTGATTTGATTAAAGGGAACAGTAGCTTTGCATCCCAAAGAAGTGTTTTCTCATCCCAAAAGAATTCCATTTTTTCATTTAGTATTACAAAAAATTAGCTAATTTTGTCAAGAATTTAATGGAAAAATATTTTCTCTTGCTATTTTAAGTACTACATAACATCTCTGATTTTGCCACGTGGCCCTAAAACATTGAAAATATTTACCCTTTGACCCTTTACAGAAAAAACCCTGCCGACCTCTTGTTTAGATCCTACAAACTTAACCCCGAGATGCCTTTTGCTTGTGCATGGGGCCTCTCTACCCTGAGTAGCTAAAGCGGTGAAAAATACCATCTCACCCCACTTTCAGCTACTCATTCAATAATCAGAATCCTCTGGGAGGGTCAGTCCAAAGGCAAAATTAAACATTAGAGATGGAAAAAGAACTTACCTGGTTGGCACTGTAGTTAGTGGCCATGATCCTGCCACTTTTTGCTGTTTACCCTTGTTGCCTGGCAACGGCGGAAGGCGGACCTTTCAGGACTGCCGGCCCTTCTACTTGGTATTCACTTTCTTGGATGGCACTGCCCCAAACTCTCCCTGGAAATTCAGGTTTGGTTTCATTTTAGAACTGCCAGAGGCAAAATGTGGAAAGTGTGGTGTGGAAAGCACCAGATTTGGAGAGTCAAGTGGTGGTGCCAGGACACAAAGCTAAAATGGCATTATGGTATCCATTTCCTGGGTTGTCAGAATTAATGAGAAAGTGAAACTGCTGTGTGAGTTGTAAGTCTATAACATGAGATGTGAAGATGAAAGGAAAAAAGTAAGTTGTTCAAAGAAATCATTGACAAGGGGCGCCTGGGTGGCTCGGTGGTTAAGCCTCTGCCTTCGGCTCAGGTCATGATCTCAGGGTCCTGGGATCGAGTCCCGCATCGGGCTCTCTGCTCAGCAGGGAGCCTGCATCCTCCTCTCTCTCTCTCTGCCTGCCTCTCTGCCTACTTGTGATCTCTCTCTGTTAAATAAACAAATAAAAATCTTAAAAGAAAGAAAGAAATCATTGACAACCAAGAGAGCATTCTAGGGGACAGTTGTCAGTCCCTCTCCCTCCCTTCCCCCCTCCAGTCATCCTAACTAACACACCAAGTGTAAGAGCACCCCCCCACCTGGAGAGTTGGAAGTCAAACAGCCCTTGTTCTCTAGGCTAAGGCAGGGAAGAGCTGGAGAACATCAGGTCTGGAAAGAGGACTTGTGTGTGTTCCCTGTGGTTCTCAACGTTCTAGAGTCATAACCTTCAGAACCAAGGACTTTGCTCTAGGACATCCATTGTGTCCTCAAAGCCAGTGAGAGTCAAACAACCAGCCTTTCTCTTGGAACTTCTATCTTCAGCCGGTATGCTTTTCCAATAGAGTTGTAAGATTATCTGATGACTACACTCTTTTTTAAAAAAATCAACTAGTTTTTGTTTAATGGAAAAAGTAAAGTATGTGGGGGGAATTGTTCCATTTTTACAGCAGGATGTTTAATGCCGAGCAAATCTCCATCTGCCTTCAACTCCCAGTCTCGGTCCTCAGAGAGAATTGCTGCAACTCTCATGATAGTAACTACTTTTACTATTCTCTTGTGTCCGAGTATTCTGTGCATTCTAACACTGCTAGTGGCAGGATACCCATATTGTCCTGTGATTGCCTTTTTAAACTGTCTTGGGGATGTCTTTCACGACAGTATATTATTCCATTCTAGGACCCAATGTCATGTATTTATTTGGTCCCATCTGGGTGACCAGTTAGGTTGTTTTCCAGTCTTTTGTTGTTATAGACATTCTTTTTAAGATTTATTTATCTGAGAGGGAGAAAGAGAGCACATGAGCAGGGGGAGGGGCAGAGGAAGAGAGAGAGGGGAAGCAGCCTTCTCACTGAGCAGGGAGCTCATCACCGGGCTTGATCTCCCGAAACTGCAGTCATGACCTGAGCCGAAACCAGTTTGGACATTTAACCAACGGAGCCATCCAGGTGCCCCTGTTATAGACATTCTTGCAATGAAAAGCTGTATATATATGTATCTCTTTATGAATATATAGATATAGATAGGTATATAATTTTATGAACATGTGATTGATAGGATGCATTTCTAAAAGCGAGTTGCAAAGGCAGATGGCTTGTGCATTTAGAATGTGAGTTGCCAAAGACATTGTGCCAGCTTGTACAAGTTCTGACCATGAGTCCTCTCTTTCCAACATGACTACTCATGCTTTTATTGTTTTTGTCAACCTGATAAGAATGAATATAGTTGCCATATGCCAGCCACGGTTCTGATTGCTTTTTATTACATTTTCTCATTTGGTTCCTATAACCACCCCAGCCAAGGAAGCTGGGGCATACACAGTAGGGAGTAGAGCCAGGATATAAGCCCAAGTATTCTGACTCTAGAGCCCTCAATTTTTGTTTAAGATTTTATTTATTTATTTGACATAGAGCAGAAGCAGGGAGAGTGGGAGAGGGGGAAACAGGCTCCCCACTGAGCAGGGAGCCTGATGCAGGACTCGATCCCAGGACACTGGGACCATGACCCAGCTTAAGGCAGACGCTCAACCAACTGAGCCACCCAGGCACCCTCAAGCCTTCAATTTTAACCATTACACTATATTGTCTCTTATGTTGGAAGTAAAACATGGTGTAGCATTGTTTTAAATTTGCATTTCCTCAATTTTATGATTTTTTGCACATGTTTATGAGCCTTTTAATTTCTTTTATTTTTTTTCCTAAAAATAACCTTGTGTATCTTTTGCCACTTGCTGTTGGGCTGTTGATCATTTTTACTAATCTGTTTAAAGTCATTATATATTCAGAAATTAGTCCTTTTGTCAAATATGTTGCAAACATTTTCTGCCAGTGTGTCTGTCATTTAATTTGTTTGTAGCCACCTTTTCCCCCCCACCATGGACATGTTTTTAAAAATATTTATATAGTCAAATTTACTGCTCTTTTTTTTTTTTTTTTTAAGATTTTATTCATTTGACAGACACAGCGAGATAGGGAATACAAGCCAGAAGAGTGGTAGAGGGAGAAGCAAGCTTCCCTCTGGGCTGGGATCCTGAGGCGGGGCTCGATCCCCGGACACTGGGATCATGACCTGAGCTGAAGGCAGACGCTTAACGGCTGAGCCACCCAGGCGCCCCCAATGCTCACTCTTTCTATGCTTCTGGATCTTATGCTTTAAATAGCTTTTTGTGAATTCCAGTGTTTAAAAAGATAATTTTCGCATAGTTTTTATTTTTAAATTTTTGTTCCTCCTAGAATTTATTTTGGTGACTACACTAAGATCAGGCTCCAGATGCCTGACGGTTCGTCTCGGCATCATGCATGGAATAAACTGTCTTCTCCCCTCTGATTTGAAATGCCACCTTTAATGTATTCCTTAATTTACTCAGGTCTGTTTCTGGATCCTCTAACCTATTGTTCTTGGGGGAGAGGTGCCCATTTTAGGTTATCTGTCTTGCTAAAATCCAATCCTGGCTTGGTCCTGTGTGAATTCTCTAGTTAGAATTTCACAAACAGTAGGAAATTGTAAATAATAACAGGCAATTTCAAGCTTCTAATAAAATTGTGCGGAAGTTTAGTTTTTCTTCAGATTGACTGGTTGCCTTCAGGCACAGGTGATGGTCTTTCGTTGGACCAGATTTAACTCTTTGAAAGTTGGAAAGTCCCATTCACAAAATATGCCTCAAGATACTCTCATTGTTGGCCTGAGTTCTCTGATGCCAGAAATTAGACCTCGGGAAATCTTTTATTTGGATTGTGACCATCTGCATTGAGTTACAAGTGTACTTTGTTATCTATAGGGAACAGATAAATTGTACCTAATGGAGGGCAACCGCCCATGTGAACTCTGGAGTCAGACTGCCTGGCTTAAATTCTAGCTCTTCCGGAAGTGTGTGACCTTGGACAAGTTATCTTTCTCATATCAGTTCCTTTAGGGCATGAAGTAGGTGTAGGCTTAGTTTTGAGCAGTAAACTTCTGTGACATTGCCAGGAGGGCACCGAGGCATAGTGAGTGCTCAGTACTTTTGGCATCCCTGCTGGCTCAAGACTGCCCAGTAAAAAGAGGTAGCTATGCAGTTTACCTTAAAAAGAAAAGGGGGAAATTTATTTATAAAGTTATAGGAGATTTATAGCAGATTCCAAAAGCAAAAAGCATGGTTGGGCCTTACAGGGTACGAGAATGTGAAAGGTACAACATGTTCAGGAAGAGAGATTTTTTTTCTATCTGTTTTTTACCAGAGTGCTTTATTCTTACTTCTGCGCAAGCCAGCCAGCATCTTCAGGCCAGTTGGGCTTGTATCTTTCCTGCAACCGGAGTCTTAACTAATGTAATAGGAGAGAAAGAGAGGGTGGAAAAGAATGCTGGTCAGTTTCAGTGGAGAGAGACCAGAGATGATAAAGATTTCCTGCCTTTGCTTTGAACCAGTGGGTGTTTTTTTAAGAAAATAAGTAATAACTTTCCCACAACCAGTTAGCAGTTTTTGTGTAGTTTTTCAAAGGTTGTGTGCCTATACAAGAAATATAAATGATAAATAGAAACATGTATTTTATTAATCGCTGTTACGTTTTACACAACAATGGTAAGTAGGATACCATACTACTTACGTTAAGATTAAGAGAGGTATTTCGGGGGCGCCTGGGTGGCTCAGTCAGTGCAGTGTGTGACTCTAGATCTTGGGGTTGTGAATTCGAACCCCATGTTGGGTGTAGAGATTACTTAAAAATGAAATGTTAACAAAAGAAAAATAAATTTGGAGTACCATTACACAGTAGCGCATAGAGAGCTCTGTTACAGCTGCACAGGAGCAGCGGGGTGATGTGTTACACTTTATCTAATCAGGGTCCTATTGTTGAACATGCAGTTTTGTTGCTGTTACAATAATGCAGAGATGAGTAACTTTGTACAGGTGTTATTTTGCATCTTTGTGAGCATATTTGAGGGATAAATTTACAGAAATGAAATTATACAAAGGGTATTGCATTTTCCTTAAGATTTTATTTTTAAGTCCTCTCTATACCCAGCGTGGGGCTCGGACTTAATACCCTGAGATGGAGAGTCCCACGCTCCACGAGCTGAGCCAGCCTGGCGCCCTGCTGATCTTGATAGATAGTGCCCGGTTGCCTTCCTAAGAGGTTACACCCCCTCCAGCCATGTGTCGGATTTTCTGGCAAATTTTGGAGTCCCGATAGAATTGATTAGATCTCTAAGTTGCTTTCATCCCATACTCCTTCCTAGATATTAAAGCTAGAGTAACTTCTCCCTCAAACATTTGCATTGTTAGGGGCACCTGGGTGACTCAGTGGGTTAAGCCTCTGCCTTTGGCTCCCGTCATGATCTCAGGGTCCTGGGATCAAGGCTGCATCAGGCTCTCTCTCTGCTCAGCGGGAAGCCTGCTTCCCGCTCCCATCCTGTCACCTCAGCCCGCCGCCCTCTCTCTGCCTCCCTCTCTGCCTACTTGTAATCTCTCCCTC